CATGAATATTTCATACTATTAATCATATTCTCGCTTTTATCTAAAGTCCAGTTCACGCAGCCGACAGCACGTCCTGGAGGTCAGCTGCGTGTCTACGTTTATACCTGTTCGCATGCCGTTAATCTTGCCTTCAATTCCTTGCTAGGCCCTGCGTGAAAAATGTGTTTCGAGTAATTTCCTCCTCAAAAACTCCGTTATTTGCTGAAGAACATTTTCTTTACACCGGAGGATAAGCAAAAAATCAATTCTCTTTGGCTGACCTTAATAAAATTTATATGCTTATGAGAAATTTACTTATATTTTTGCTTTTATAATTATATATTTAATTATATTATGTTGCTAACATAATTATTTTGAGTTAAAGCTTACATTTTTAATGAAGAGGTTTCGGCATCATTCCTGCGCGAGAGATTATTTATAAGGTTAGAGATAAAAATATTGACAAGGAGCGGTGGAGGAAATGCACCCGAGATTTCAAAATCATCGTGCGATATCAATTCAATACCTTAAACATTCCATATTTTACGCGTGAAAATTCTTTGTAAAAATCTTTCGAATGTTCCCTTTCTATAAGCGGATGTACTCTCTAGTTAAAGAAACTGTGATATTTCCCGTTCGACAACCAGGCTCGATTCATGCGGGATTTTTCTTATCGACAATTTCTCACGTGGTATTTGTATGGCATTGTTATACTTTGTTTCTGCTATATTTATGTCGCAATTGCTTGTTCTGCCATGCTGGATATATATGCTTAATTCTCAAAATGTGTGATCGTATGAAAGGATTATCATGTACATAATCCTTTCGTGTGGTCGGTGTGATAGTACATATATACTGGATTTGAAACTAATAGGATATTTGCTATCAACTTTTTCTTCTATGGGTTGCCATTAGCAGATTACCGGTGTAACATGGGCCATACAACCCATCGATGCGCCATCGGTGCTCCACCTATGACTTCCACCTATCGCCACCAATAATTAATCACCGGCGCTCAAACCATAATTTAATTTTAGTTTTGAATATTTGTTCATTGATTGGTGTTTCATATGAGTTACAGCTTCTTGAAATGCTCTACCAACGCTCTTACAGTGCAGGTAAGGATTTGTGTGGTGAACAAGGCTGGCGAGATAAGTGGCTCATAATTCATAAGAGACGGACACTTCGAGTGCGTGAGAGGACACGTGGTGTAGTGAACCAGGCTGGCGAGATTAGTTGCACATAAGAGATTTCTTGAAATTTAGTACGCTGCAATTTTGAAAGATAAAGGTTAAACACAAATGTGTATTTCACAAATAGAACCCCATTTAGTGAACCAATATGTTTTTCAGCTGTTTTAACTGTTTCAGCACTAGAAACCTAGGACGTCGCGGGCGAATTTACGGCCGGACTTGTGGCCGGTCTCACGACCCATCTTCAAATTCAATTATCAAGTAATATCTCCCAAACTAATGAACGCAGCTCTATGAAACTTGGAACACGAATTCATCAGAACCTAACGGTGATGTTTAGCTCATAATTTTTTTAGAATTTTACCTTCATTAGTGAGTTACGCGTATATTGCGAAACAGGCCGAAATTCACAGTGATCAAAGAATTTCTTATAAACTATTGAACAGATTTGAACGAAATTTTGAATATACATTCCTAACTACCAAACGGTGATTTTTTAGCTTCTAAATTTTTTTTTCAATTTTACCTTCGTTTGAGAGTTTTTTTTTCATTTCACCGTCATTCTTCATGTCATACTTTTTTATTTGGCCAGTATCGCCGGGTAATTTGTCACTTAAATTCGCGGCGATCAAGAAATTTCTTTAAAACTACAGAACAGATTTCAACGAAACTGCGTATATGATTACCTAACCTCTCGACGGTGATGTTTAGCTCGTGACAATTTTTCTATTTTGCTTTAGTTCCCGAGTTATACAGATATAGGAGGAACGACCGGCTTTTCTACCGACCGGTTTAACCAAAAGCCTTATACCTACATAGCCGTATAACGCGCAAACGAAGACAAAACGAAAAAATGATAAACATCACCGTTGCTGAGGTTAGGTATTTCAATACTAAGTTTCGTTCAAATCTCTTCAGTAGTTTGGAAAAATTTCTTGGTTACTGCGAATTTAAGCACGTATTGCTGTTTAAATCACGAATGAAGGTGAAATGAAAAATAACTCGCGAACGAATGCACAATCGAATAAATTTCCACAAGCTAAACATTACTGTCCGGTAGTTAGGACTGTAAATTCAAAATTTCGTTCGAATCTGTTCAGTAGTTTGGAAGAAATTACTTGATCACTGTGAATGTCGGCTCGTATTGCCATATAACTATGGCAAAAACAAACGATGGAAAAATTCAAACAATTTTCACGAGAAAAACATTATCGTTAGGTCCTAATAAATAGGTGTACCAAGTTTCATCGAGGTACGTTCATTAGTTTGAGAGATTTTCCTTGATCATTGAATTTGGAAAATTGGCCGTGAGACCAGCCGCGAGTCCGGCCGTTAATTTGTCCGAGACGAAAACCCATGAGAGGTTAAAAAAACAGATCTGGGTGAAAAAACCATCGCTGGGAGTCATGTGCTGCACGTGATGTGTACAAATCGTCAAACAAGCGCTAGAACTTCTGACATTGACTCCGGACTACCGCCCCCCTACCGCCCTCTTCTTCCTTACCGCCGCCCCCCAAAATCTTTCCACCGCCCCTAGGGGGGCGATATCGCCCACTTTGGGAACCACTGTTATAGAAAATCCGACGTCAGCTGTCATTGATACCCCAATGAATCATATTTCTAGTGCCGTTCGTAACAGAGTCCGTAGTTCACGGCGGTCAATTTGGTAGTGGTTTTTATGTGTCTTTTCGTTATTTTTTTAAATTTAACATGAGAAAAAATTAGAATTGAACAATCCTTTTAGAACATAGAGGTCTGCAAGTTGTAAGAGGAAGGTATATATAAACATTCAAATATTTGCATCGCAATTCAATTCACATTTTGAGTTGCAGGGAAAAATTTACGAAATATTCATTGACTTGTGAATATTATATGAAAATAGATTTGTTAGAAGTAACGTTTATATTTAAATTTGAAGATAAGGAAAATTTTATTTGAAAGATAGCAAGCACTAATGGTGAATGCTTAAATGTACGATCTAAAAGCAAATAAGCTCCAAGATAGAAATGAAATAAAAAGGCAAGGTTATCGTAATTTCTTATTGTGCAACAGATGATAATAATCGAGTAATTGACATAACAATGCCTCAATTATCTTGCATTCACTAACACTCTTGCGCCTAGCAATACCTGGAAGTTATGAGAAGGTAACTTACGTTATCGTCGGGTCCCACCAATGTCTTGTTGCGATAGAACATCGCCAAACAGTTCAGGTAATAAATGGACTGGAAAGCAGTTTTCCCAAAAACATCGTAAACACAGTCTAACAAATCTTCTTCTTCAACGTCATGATAGTTCGATGTTTTCATATATCTGTCAGATGTTTCAGCACTGCAATGCGTTCCATTAAACGTTCCGTCATTTACAGCTGGATCTGAAAAAAAACAGAGGAAATAATTGAGAATAATTTGTTTGAAACGCTTCCTTGTATGTATAATTTTTGGTAACTATAGTTCAGTGTTTAATTTTCGAATACTTCTTTTGGGCTGAGTTTATCGATGTATTTTGTGAAAATTTATCAATAGCTCATAATTATAAAAATACAACTCAGTACTCACTGCAGTGAGTGACAAAGAGCGCATTTTCTCGTCGACGAAAACGTGAAGTCACGGACGGACGGACGGACGGACAGACAGACAGACAGACGGACGGACATGACGAGCACAATAGCGCCTTTTTTCCATAATTGGGAAAATGCGCTAAAAATAAAAGTTAGTCAAAATAATAATGAAATAAATAAATATTAACATAAATAAAAGAATAAATAAAATAATCAAGAATAAAAAGGGTGCAAATTTTTATACCATTTCAATTATCTGATAGGTTCTAGTGAAACATTTCAATTCTTCTATCATGCAACCAGGCACCAGCTTATGCTAGGAAACATTCCGCCCCTTCTTCAATAAATTTTCTTTGTCTCGCGTCGTTTCCTTGATTATTGAAATTTCAGGTTTTCACGGCTGACTTCTTTTTCGAGCAAATGCGCCATGTTTCATTTTCACATCAACTCTCCATCTGGCCTTGCTCTGACTCGTGATAAATAAGTTTATTATTTTGATTTTGTATACTTTATTATTTTTATTTTACGCGTGATTTTAGTTAAAAAATTTGAATTGCTTCTGATATATTATTTTCAGATCACAGAATTTATTTGTGCATGTNACTGCGCACTGATGCCCAGTCTGACACGGTTCCGTTAATACTGACACGTTGTCGTCTACCTACTAGAAAATCTCTGATCCATTGGAGTACGTTTCCCTCAATTCCCAAGGACTTCACTTTACGCAACAGCCGCTCATGCGGCTGTTGCCGCATGAGCAACTTCCTTTTCCATTTGCATCCAATGATGATTTTTATTTCACATACGAATGCATACATTGGTAGGAATCATGAGCAGATCATTGGTTGAACTTGTGTGGCTTTAAATTAAAATTATTTCATTTATGCCCTCAATTCCGCCGTAACTTGGCTGAAATAAATAATGCATGTGATACCCGTGAGTTCAGTCCATAAATTGATACACATTCTGTTCAAGTTGTCCCCTGATGTCTTCTGGTTCGAAGCGAGATATGGAGCCTTACCGAGTCCCACTTCCTCCTGATTGCCTCGAGTTCAGTCTATGATAATTATGATGCCTTACTGGCTCCCGTTGCCTCGAGCTCAGTCCATGATATGGTTCCTTACTAACTCCCATTGCACCCAGACTGCCACGAGCTCAGTCCAGATATGGTGTCTTACTGGCTCCCGTTGCCTCGAATTCAGTCCGGTGCCTTACTGGCTCACGTTTTCCTCTCCCCGGTTTGGAATAAGATGGAGTCCTACTTCTTACAATTCAGCGGAGACATGCGTATGCCGATTGGCTCAGTAGGGTCTGGGTGATAAGCAGGAGCGTTCTGGGGCGTGAGGATCCTGAAGGCGCACCCATTGCTCCGGAAAAATCCCATGAGACCAAACGGGCCTAGCGTACCGTACCACAGTCTCTGAGATGAAAAACGAAAGGACAAGAGAACATCGTTAATAAGTATGTAAAGACTCCCTAATAATAAGTAGTGCCATTCAATAACATTTAGATATTCACTGAAGCAAATAATGTAAAATAGTTCCTCAAATTCGTTACACGGTTCAAGATGCACGTGAGACTTGCGAAGACGATTCAATGATTTCCCAATTTTTTTTTGCGATGCCAATGCGTGAAAAATTTAATTTATCTAATGCATTCTGTTAAAACAACAATTTATTTTGTATGCAAACAGCGAGTAAAGCTCACACTGATCAAAGGCGAGAACGTGTCCGCAAGAAATTCCAAGAAATTCTTCGGCGTTGGATGATGGCGCTCGAAATGAAACAAGGCGTTGGACGGAATATTGGCGTCGTTGTCCTGTGCCGAAAACGTAAAGTTTAGTTCACTCTACTTGGAAAAAAATACTGATATTCCCTTCAGCTTCTTCTTAAATATTGCTTTACTTTACTAGCATAACTGTAACCACATCATCGACTTCCTCATTGATAGAAGTGTCATAAGGTTTGCATCGGAACCGAGATATCGATAAGTAGATATTATGATTCAGTGGAACTTAAATTCTACTGAGACAGAAATCATATCGTGATACTTGAAAATGCATTTACCCATGTGATATAGGTCACGAAACTCACTAAAGCGTGGAAGTAATTTTTTGCGAGATTCTTGAAGGGTCGCAGCGCCAAGATATCGGTGTCCGTATACAATCCCCCTGAGTGGTAGACAACCGCCAAGCGCAGCAAGTCGCTCAATTGGGTGAACAGGTAGGCTGCACAAAAAGGACTTGTTTAGCTTCTGGTTCGGAAAAAATTATTTGCCAAGCATTTCTTTTTAAATTTAGATTTAAGCAAGCAGGATTTTACAATGTCATTCGTTGTGTCCAATTTTAAATGAGAAAAATGGTTAGTCTTCGTTGGAAATGATACGCACGAGAAAAATTGATCAGAATTCATTTACTAAGAAGGAAGTATTTGCGTTTTACCTCATTTACTTGCGAGGTGCGATAACCCGAGTAATCTACGTACACGAAGTGAGAATTTATGAGTGCGTAGATTACCCATCACCCACGAAAGTTTCGAAGAATGTGAGACTTACGAGTGTTCCAGAAGTCATCGGAGTTGAGGATCGCATGAAAAGATGTGTTGCGCATGACTGTGCGTACGTTCACTTTTTATTTGTAATTTTCATTGTCATGGACACTTCTATCTGGTAGATGTTTTGAGCAGACGGATCTGGAGACACGTCGCTGAAAACAAATTGCGATGCTTTTTCAGAGATAGGTAACACAAAAAATACCAGTGAGATAGATAATAGCAACATTTTATCATATAATAAAGTGATAAAAATAAATGTCTGAAGCAATTGTTTCGAGAGCTTTCGCTTCACTAAACATAAATTATCTCTATATCAAAAATTTGATTGAATAAGTAGAAAATTGACTGGTTTTCATAAGCATGACTGGATGTATAATATTAATAAGCAAATTTAAAACCTGGTACAGACTGAAGTTTAAATTAAGAGAAATCATTACTTGAATTACGACTCTATACTGAAAATTATTACTGGGGTATGGCACACTGCTGTACATGGCACAAACGGCCATGTACAGCAGTAACACTCAATTGTTTAAATTAATGAAGGCGAATTAAATACCATTGACGCATTTTATATCAGAGATTCATGACCAATTTACTGGTAGTTAATTTCCGCGCAATTTCCACCAGGATATTAAGAGCGAGCTTGGAAGCGTTGTCATGAGTTTAAATTACTTGTAGAAATGAGGAAGAGACCGAAGCTGGGGGTCGTTGACCCCCGGGTGACATCCAAGCTTCGGGGGAGTCGTGGGCGCTGCATCGGCCACGGCGCCGTACCTGTAGGCTTCTCTCCGCCTCCTTATTTCTTCAGCTGGCACCTGAACCTCTGTCGAGTGACACGTGGAAAACATCAGTTAATTTTAATAATACTTCCAAATAAAATGTCAGTGAATTTCCTTGTGATTCATACTCATGAGTATCCCATATTTGTTTACATTATAATTTTTCTAGTATTATATTATTTGAACAAAATTAATCTGCTTAATTACCTTGATAATGGGAGTAAGCGACCGCCAGTACGAGACCAGAGGTGATAAAAATCAACTGCCATGAGGTTACTGAAAAAATATGATTGGTGGAAAATGTTGAAGTTGATTTCTTCACTGATAATCAATTTAATCGTTGGCTATTTGTACCACACTTTCGATTATGAAACACAAGAATTTTGGAGCGTAGCCATGCACCACCAATAAAGGGCACCAATCAGACCTGAATAGAACGCCTAGCATATTTTCTTTTTCTCCTTCCATTCCGCAATTAGTCCATTAAAGTATGAAATATTTTTATACATGCATTATTAAGGACCATACTGAGGATATTATACTATGACCTCATACGAACAAAATTGCCGTTTGTGCTTCCAACGCGTCATGTAAAATATAACCCTGAGCCCGCGTTAGAATTCAAAAATGCGTATCTTTCGCCATGTTAATATGCTGAGTGAAGATATTAAGGAACTTGAAAATTTAAGGCAAAATCAATGATGAATTCTTACCTTCACTTCGGGGTTTCCTCACAGATTCACGCATCGCACGGCCGGCACCGAATCAAGCCGAGATGCAGAGGGTGTTCGGCTTCGATGCGACGGTCTGGTTTGGCGTACACTTCTTACCGCCTAGTGCAAGTGAAGTTTGGCAGCAATGTGTGCCAAATGCTTTAATCAGGTCAGGCGTCCCCTAATAAATCTTTCTATTTTAAAATATAAAAACTAGGATATTTTAAATATAAATATAAAACTAGTCTGAAATATAAAAGATGCACGATAATGCATAATAAAGTACATTTTTCAGCGCCTTCCGAACCACAGCTTGGGATGATTAAGATCATCAAGAATGAAGCAGCGAAATGAAGTTCGAAACCCTCAATGAGTTCTAAAATATCTTGTTACAATCAGCAAGGTGGTTGGATGGTTAGGATTCGGCTACAGGTCAACATAGCCTAATCATTCGCTAATATCCCACAACTAATATATGACCACCTATTACTATTTTTGGCAATGTGCAGCCTCAAAGACAATTAAAAATTAAGGTGCACTGAATAAATTATTGTCAGCTTCGAAGGCTTTGAGTGGCCCAGCTTCTGCATCATTATAGATTTCTAATGGTTCTACCGTGTGAAATTAAGTTCAAAATCGCAGAATTTGCTTGGAGGCGGGAAAGTACAACGCTCTCGTTGTCATCACGCCTCCATGTGTTTGAATGCTATAGACCAGAACATATAGACACGCTTGTTTGTCGCTATTGCATATGCTAATTAAATGCATTAATACATATTGAATGCACTTTTACTTGCTATTATTCTAAACATGCAACACGCGAGTAACTATAAATCAGATATTACACAGTACATTCAACTAGATCTGCTAGTTTAGGAAAAATTTATCTACACACAGAACCGCAGATCCTATTTTTTAAACTTTTGTGTATTTAAAATTTACTGCAATCGAACTTCGAAGACTCGGTGCATTCTTCTGAGCACCTAAGAAATGTTTACCTGGAGCCGTACTTTCAAAACTTACTTAACTGACTTGCCATAGTAACGAGAAGCGTGTCGGTGATCTCGGAGACAAAAAGAAAAAAAATTGAATTTGTTGTCGCGTAGTCGACAAACGGTCAAACTCAACTGTCGGACATTTGACAATTAATATGGATTCGACATCGATTAATGTAGATTCGACGTAGATCAACGATGATTCGCCATCGATTAATGCAGATTCGCGTTGTAGTCGAATTATCCGTATAGCGGCCTAAATACAAGTAGCGGCTTGAGGACAAGTAGGGTCCATAGTGCACTTAGCGGTTTATTTTTCGTCTGTGATTGGTGGGTTCAGACTGAAAAGCCGAGTTATTGGCTGACGAAGTTATGAACTCGTAACTTATAGTTTTTATTGTACGGCCCCTTAATTGCCTCGTGCGGTGCATGGGTGAGATTAGCTAGCGCCATGGTGAGATTAGCTAGCGCTTCATGATGATTGACTAACCAAATTTAGGTAATAAATATGTATTATAAAATAGATTCGATTATAATACGAAAAAAATTTAAACTCTGAAAGTTTTTAGGATATAATTCGTTCCTAAACTTTCCATACTTCACTTCACGGTGCCGTGATTCACGATGTTTGTTATTGAGACCACCAAAGACTATAGACTCAAGTAAAACGAACAATGGTAACGTAAGTAAAAAAAAACAAGTTAAATCACAGGAATAATTACAGTAATAATGAATCATTGAAGAACCTAGATAATATTATAAATAGAATAATGATGAATTTGTGAATACTTTCAGTGAATAACTGCTACTTAACTATAAATTACATCATCAAAATCATCATCTGCTCCTCTCGGCGCTGACTGCTGGTGTTCCG